TATTTCAAGTCTGCTCATACACACAGAAAACACGTTACATTTTACAGTCCCCTCAAATGACATTGTCACATGTCCGGGGTCCCGTGACAAATAATTTGTGAGATTTAGCGGCTGTAGACGACGCTGTTAATTGTAAAATTACTCGTTTACGCTCGCAATTACAATCACTCTTAAATACCTCCCTTTCAGACTAAGCGACCTGATTAGTCCGTCGTCTCTCTGCGTTTCCTCTTCACCGGTTATATTCTTGCACCGCTGTCCTCGGTGGAGTGTCCCCACACTTTGTTCTTCCCGTATCTTTCGTCGGATCTGAACTGTTCTGTCGCACTCTACCCTCTTAAGTAGCTCTTCACGTACCGCTGAGAGAACACCTTGTAGAAAGGTTCTGCCATTAAAATGCTCTACCTTTTAAAAGAAACCACAATCATTATATTATCGCATGTATTAGTGATTATAGACGTGATTTGAATTGGTGAAGAGTTTTATTGACCATTTACAAATCATAACTATAATTAACTATAGCACTATTGTTGATTTCCACACTAAAAATCACTAAGACATGCTAAGTCGTCTCGATCTTCACTAGTCGTATCCGGGCAAAATAGTTATAATATTAGAGTCTTCAAATCACACACAAACTTTCAACTAATTCGTTGCCATTTTTTCTCAATCATCTTCGACTGCCATCTCGAGGTACTTCCTCAATTATTATTTCCTCAGCTGGCCTGGGATCCTCTTTATATAGCCTCGGGGCGGATCCAACAGAAAACACCATTTCCATCGTTATAGCCCAACAACACGTCGACTGTTCCTTGCTCATTCGTTGCCGCGGGAACTTGTTTACTGATTCGTTGTCTGGCAATGAACGTCTACACTGGCTCCGCTATTCAGGCTTTTAGGCGTCATGTCACAATACAATTCACGTGGAATAGGATGAAATATAAAAAATTAAAATCACCTTTAACAGCAACTGGGCTTAATCTGTCTGGAAACTAACCGTTCGAAATAAAATATAAACTCTCTTTGAATACTCGTATGTCCTTCATTTCAACGTTAGAATCTACATCAAACAAGCCAACAATTTAAAATATGACGAAAGTTGAACATGACTCCCAGAAATTCTGCAGCCTTCGCGTAGGATTGTGACAGCATTCCCCTTATGATGACACTGTTTGACATGAAGCATACATACGAGTTCTATAGGAGCTATGAACTTATACACATAAAAACAGTTGACAACGTTAAATAGGGCCCAGAAAGGCTGCTCTCCTTGTACCAATATTACGCTTCTTTTTGCAGTAACTGCATAGAATTAAAGCAAAAATCTGTCAGCATGTTTTATCTCCAAAATTACTCAGTAACGGAACAGGTCAGCATAGTGGCAGTGCTGTAGATTTGTATTCAAGGGTGCTGGGTTTGAATCTCGTTCTAGACACCAGCTGTCCGGACTGAGATTCGGTCTCTCGAGGCAAATTTCAAAATGGTGCCTTTGTCACGTCATGACCACGTGCTTCCAGATCTTTTCATTTCACCAGTCAAACTTCACTTCGACGCTGTATAGTCTGAAATACTGACAATCATTAAATAAGTAATAAATAAATGATAAGTATTCATTAAAAGTAATAATAATTAAAACCACAACAACAATATACTCTATACAAGATATTGTAGCGTGTAGAGCCGTTGCTATGCAAAGACCTAGAGGTGGGCAGATATACCGGGGCCTTAAACATGTTCCCGTTCTAGGCAGCAGATTTCTTATAATGCAACACTTGGACTACAACAATGGAAGAACTGTTTTCTACGTGGTCCGGCCCTGCTGGGGCTCATGACCAGATATTTGTTACTGTTTGGCATTTACGGTAACAAATATCTGGTCATGATCCCCAGCCGGGGCTCGACACCAAGACAGACAGACTGACGAACCGTCAGTCGCAATATGACTTGGACTTGGACTTGGAGCTTAGTCAGTTGAGAGTCAGTTGGAAGGGAGCTACCATTCAGAGAGGACCTGAGCACCGAAGTAGAGGAATAGCCATTGTTGGAGCCGTTACCAGGCAGCTACTAGTGAAGACACCGTAGGCTGGAAGAGATTTAGCGTGTGATGTAGTAAATTGTAAAGTGTGCAGATTAGCGACGGCATCACCCCTGGTCTGGACTACAGTTGTTTGTTTGTTTTTCCTTGGCACTACAGCCCCAGTGGGTCTAGGCCTACCTCCATGAACTTCTTCTTTCACGGACTACAGTTTACTAGCCCAGAATTCAGTTAACTCGAAACACTGCTTTGTGTTAGCGGGAATGTTCAGAGTTAAACTTTCAAGTCGGTTTGTAGAACGGTAGCGCAGAGTTCTGGGTAGACGGCAGGACTCCTTGGACGGGTGATCAGCTCGTCGCAAGGCCTCTACATAAACACAGAATAAACACATACACACACCAAACATCTATGCCTTATGTGGGAATGGAATCCACGATCCCGGCTTCCGAGCGAGCGAAGACAGTTCAAGGCTTAAGGTTCGGCCACACAGAGCGCTACGTACGCTATGTTCGCTATACGAACAGGAAAATATCTCCCTTTATTGCCAATGTGACTGGCCACACAGACTTCCGTACGCTACGTACGCTATGTTCGCTATACGAACAGGAAAATATCTCCCTTTATTGCCAATGTGACTGGCCACACAGACTTCCGTACGCTACGTACGCTATGTTCCCTATGTTAGCTGCGTCGCAGAGTGTACACAGCGTACGTAGCGTATGTAGCGAAGATAGCGTAGCGCTCTGTGTGGCCGAACCTTTAGACAGCTGGACTGCCGTGACCTGCTCACTGAACATGGAGGATCTGATTTCGTGCAATTCTTGTAAATTCAATACATTTGCGAACATTTTACTGGCCAGTTAACTGACTTTTGGACGTTCTTGTATTTATATGATGAAGTGATATACTTGGAAGACAAAGTAATGTACCTGTAAATTCAACGGTGTTAATATATTAATGTTAATAAACGTAAATAACCGAACCTTGGCAATGGAGCTATAAGAACGGACCTGGCCAACTCGGAGATGTGTTATTGATCAACGAATAGCATGCGATGAAGCAGTGATTTTATATTGCATGGGGTTTCCTGCCGAGGAACAATAAGCCCGGAAGTTAATATCACGCAGTTTAGCCCAGATAAAGTAATGTTACGTGGGCATGTCACGTAAAATTTACGGGCTGCGGGAGAGACCGACAGCGCTCATGATACGGGAACCAGGAAACTGCTGGGATTTCTCTCATCATTCTCACTCACCTCTAGAGACTATACATTTTCAAAATACACATTCATATTTTATTGTGATTTTACATGAAGCTGGCAGGGCCTACAGCTCCAATATTGGCAAAATAAACTGGGTTTCACAAGCGTTCAAGCTGGTTAAAAAGGAAACAATTTTGACCTGCAATTCGGAGATATATCTTTTGAATCTATGCTGGAATATTTATTATTCCCAGTGAAATGTTTTGTTCTTTTTTTAAGAACTCCTTCACTAAAATTTTAAATTTTGACCGCAATCGCTTTATTCGAGTCCTCTCCGGTCTATTATTCACCATGATTCTACAATTTGAGACCGTATAGTTTGAGCTAGAGACAGCGGAGTTTCCTTTAGATGTGGTTCCTCGTTAAAATATACACTGAACGTCAGAGAGGGCGCCCCACAGAAACAAGACCGTAATTGTTAAAGGTAATAAATATCTGGTCATGAGCCCCAGATGGGGCTCGACACCGAGACTTACTGACTGACTGACTGACCGTCGGTTGCAATGTCCCTTTGACTTTGACTTTGTAGTCAGTGATTACCCCGTGTGGAGGCGGGGTCGAATACCTCCACCGTGACCCTGCGAGTCGTAGGAGGCGACGAGAATGGAAGTCTCAGTTCTTAGACAGTAAAATATTGTCGCGAGTCTCAAGGGACTCGGACCCGAGTAAGACTGCGCTGGCAAAGGCCAGGAGCATATACAAAAGATAGACCCGTCCTCTCGTCAGAGAAGGCGCCCCACAGAAACAAGACCGTAACTGTCAAACGGTAATAATTAATATCTGGTCATGAGCCCAAAATGGGGCCCGACACCAAGATTTACTGACTGACTGACCGTCAGTCGCAATGTGACTTTGACTTTGACTTTGGGACGGAGTAGTGAGGGGAGTAGTAGAAGAGCAGTAGTCGAGTCGGAAGTAAAAGGTCGAGTTTCAAGACACCAGCCGGATATGATATGAGCCTGAGAGCAGAGGAATTGAATTAAGTCGACAATAATGGCAAGAAAGAGGAGTTAGGCTGTGAAAAGAAGACTTCATGTGTGATTTGAAGTTACAGTGAGACTGTGATAAATCCGTTGCCTGGATACGACTAGTGTGAAGACTGAGAACCCTAGTGCGCGTGTAACGGTGAATTGTGAAGTGTGTAGAGCAGCAATAGCGCTGTATTGCCTGTATTTCCAAGTTGTGTGAATGTATAAGGTGCAATAAATCCAACCATCCAATCCAAAAACCTGTCATAAGTCACGTAGAAACCCCTACACTTGACAATAGCATTTCTCTGCCACGCTTTTTTTAATTAGGTATATTGTTAAATGTGTAGAAACGGGTTTTAACTGAAAATGCTTCGACACAGACGTTGAGGAACACTGTAATGTAATCATAGTTACTCAGATCACATCAGTTTTAATGTATAATTTTTCTGCAAACTGTTCTGATGAATGTGCTGCATTTTTAATGGTATTGATTGGTACTTGTTACGACGTCATATATACAGCTGCATATTTTGAACTGAAATGATAGCCACTTATATCGTATATAACACCGTAGCATGAAGGGGGAAAAGAAATGAGGTGAAAATCGTAATAAGCATAATCGTAAAGACGATAATGATTGCCTCTGCAGGTGTCTAAACCAGAAAATTTTCCCTCACTCTCATAATACAAACCTTCATTCAAAAATTGTAACGCTTCTTTTCTTTTGTTACAGTCGCAAGCTGTGGTCACGTGACGTGGAATGGCCGCTGGGAAGGGGTTTCTACTACCATGTGATTACCGGGCGCCATGTCTGGACTAGTGACCGGCACGACGCTAGCGGCGAGGATTCAACTTAAAAGAGTATGAACACAGACATTCATTAGAGATTAACGGGAAACAGTACAGACCGATAATGAGGGCGCACTATATGTGACATCTGAAGAAGTGTAAGAAAAAGAGATAAGACCCGATTTTCAAAGTGATTCGAGTGCAGGGCTTCGCAGCAAATCTTCTTAGTACTGAAATACTTCTCTAATATTTTAGCTGAGTAAAAGACAACTACATACGAGGAATGGGTTTGGGTATGAGCAAACTGCTATGTTCTGGCAAGTTTTTGCCCTCTTATAACGAGCTGGCTGGAAGAACTTCTTTTTTCTTTCGCCTTAGGCAGTGACCAAGCTGACGAACTGAAAAACGAATTCAATTGTCAAGGTGAACAATGTCCTCTTTCTTTTTTTCTTCTTTCCATGATACAACCGCCCTGAACAAAGGCAACAACGAATAAGGAGGTTGTGACTGCTAATATGAATTTCTCGTGCTGAGTCTTTCAGAGAGGGGAGGCGATGGTACATAGCTTCAATTGGCGTTCAGCTCCTCGCTCTTAGAGACATGTGGTTAATTTGCTTACCGCAGAGGACATTTGCAACTAAAGGTGTTCTCTTGGAAGATGTTTTTTTTAATTTACGAAATCAAGCAAAAAAAAATTACAAATATGCCGAAACATTAAACCAGGAAACCGAACATGAAAGGCACAGGCGACACTGAATATTGTTTCATTCCTATCCTCGGAACTAGATGGAAATTAGTAGTCAGCTTCACGCTCCAACCGATTTATCCCCGGGGAAAAGGACCATGTTACTCATTATATAGGCGGCCGGTTGATCCCAGAGGAGGTCTGAATTTATTATCGAGAAGAAATATATAGATTCTAAAGGGTTCTGACAATGGTGGATGACACGGAATTACTGGGGTTTTGGACTTCTTCCATCGTCCGGAATTTTAGATAATAGATGGCACCAGTTTCCAGTTTCCGAAACTGGATCTGTTTCCGCCTTCAGGTGGGAAAGGAGGACACCTAGTCCAGTGACTGAAATTAGCTCTTTCCAAGGGGTCCAACTGAGTAGGTGTCTTCCTTTCTCACCTGAAGACGGAAACAGATCCAGTTTCCGAAACGTCGTGTCCTCTGTTACCTAAAATTCTGAACGATGGAAAAATTCCAAAAGCCCAGTAATTCTGTGAGAAGAAATACGTCTCATTTACCGTGAATGAAACTCTGGTCTTCCAGGCTGTAGCCTGTTATTTCAGATGAGTTGACCAACTTCAAGTGGAAAATCAGGAAGGAATCAAACGAGGGTTATGATTTGTGACTCTTGCAATTTCGTTATCACTGGAAGGGCTAGAAAAAAAGCAAGCCCCTTCTTATCTAGGGAATTACGGATAAGAGGAAAATACTGTGCTACAAGCAAGAAGGTCGCGGGTTCAAGTACCGATGAGGTCACTGGATTTTTTTTCAATTGACCTAATCCTTCCGGCCGCACTAGGCCCTGGGGTTTACTCAGCCTCTAACAGAAATGAGTACCAGGAATTAATTAAATAATTTTCCTGGGGAGTAAAGCGCGGCCGGTTCGTAAGGCTGACAACCTTACCGCCATCTTTGAGCCGATTGTCTAGATAGTGTGGGACCCTTAACGTCTCACAGCCCTATGGGCCTTGGCGCCCTGTTACAGGGATAGGTTCATTTACTTACTTTTTAGTCATGTTAGGTATTGCACAATTTTGAGAGATTACATCCATATATTCCATTTATTGGACAACTGCAGAACGTCTGAACCAGATAAATTCCGTCCTGCATATATTCGTTCATTAGCAAATACTAGACACGAGTCTAAGAATTATGAAGCGCTGATATTGGATCCGTGACATTTTCAGCCCCTGCCCTATGGCCTCCGAAAATGTGACACTCAGCAGTTCAGGATGTTGGTAAACATGACTGGACACAGACAGTAAATTAGATCCCTATAACTGTTACGTTTCTGTATCGGAGATGACATGGATAGTGTTACAGTGGTTCAAACATTATTCCTGGAGCTAAAAAACCAAATGTTATTCTGATATTTACAAGTTAAATTTTGAGTTTTCTGTAATGTAAACGGTGTTATATTTCCAAACAACGTTGGATTAGTGACATGTTTTAGACATGTGAAAAAGACTTCGGTTAAATGCGGTGTTTTGCTGTGAAGTCAAGCTAGAATATCTCAAAGTTAAAACAAAAGAAATATATTTTGTCTCTCACAAGAAAGAAAGGCAACGTTCTGTAGTTTCCCCCTCCCCCAGAGAACACGTTCAGTTGATTAATTGTCCTCTAACGTTGTAGAATGAAAATACATGAAAGCTTGGAAGTTTTTAAAAGATTTGAAAGGAACGCAAACAATTGTTTCTTTACTCCTGATGCATTCCAATAAGCACTAACTTGTAAACTTGTATAGAATCCTAAAAATTTCATTTGAAATTTCTGATTTTTGGATGTATGACAGAAGTGAGAGTTAATAACAGTGCGAAATCTCCTGTGAGGTAATACACAAGCTTTCTTGTAACGAGACAAACATTTTGTGATTACATATACTTGTGTCGTTTGTGTGAAGTTGTAAAATTGTTTGTAAAATAGCGCTTTTATATCTAAAGGATCGACCCTGTCTTGTGTGTTTACATTCCAGGAAGGATGAAATGCCTGTGTATGCTTTTCTGCGTGACCTCAATATAAAATAAATATTCCGTTACGTTTGCTTGTATTGCTACTGACAAATTCAGAATGTGTATCCAAATACTCAGGCAGATCGCACAGTAATCTGCCTACTGGAATAAAAAGAAGTCATGAAGTTTGTATACAGTGTACATAGTAATATGTTATTCTATTTACAAAGAAACTGCATTTATTTTAACGAAGAAGAAGCGACTATATTGTTTAAAATGGACACTTGATTAACATCAAGGCAATTGACTGTGATGACGCATAAGGGCGAGGTGCATAAAGCAAATGAGCTTAATAGTGTCTATGAACACTATGTTCCATCATCTAACACTTGTCCATTTTGTCTTACTGTTATATCATCTTGAGAAATGTTACGTGATCAATTCCCTTTATCAAGTCCCCAGACCTCGTCCACTTTATCGATTTCAAATTACTATCTCCGATATCAGACATTTGAAGGAGTTTAAGAAAATTAATGAGAATGGTAGAATATTATCATGTTTGAAATACATTTTCACATCAATTAAATTATCTCAATAAAAGTATGTCTATGTGCCGCTTTATTATCTAATACAGTGTATTTTGAGATACAGTATTGATTTCTTGGTGGCTCTTATAAATATAATTTTAAATGGCTGGTGTACAGCATAAAGAGTTAATCGGATACTTTTTGCCAGAATTTTTGTATATGTGTAAAAATCAGCGGATGCTTCCCACAACAGTTATGATAAAATAAGCCCCTGCATTACGCAGACAATTTAACAAAATGTTCTCGATTAAAAATGAAAGAGATTTCAATACATAGCAATTAAGTGATTTATTGTAAACTCAGTCGATTGGATTGTGTAAGGCGACATTCAAGTTTTGAAAACAATATAATTGTTTTAATTATGCCTTGTTGATCATGTACTTCAGCGTTCAGGTATTAAGAAAGTAATGAAATGATTCGAGTTTCTTATATTGAAAAGGAAATTTCGAAATTAATTTGTGTAAAATATTTTTTTTAACAATTTTGGTATGAAGGGTTTATGGTGTACTGTAAATAATATCCCTTCGTCCATTTATTCTAAACCAGTGATGTGAATTTTATTCAATTAACGCGTTTTTTACCAAAACAGAACAACTTTCTCTAGGCATAAAACCATTAATTAATTTTATATTTGTTATTTTCTTATCAAATATCAGTAATTTACTGAACTATTGTCGTTATTAAGAATGGAAAAAGTAAATAGAAATCGGTAATTAAAATGTACATTTGGTGCTGTTATGTCGTTTCGGGTTTTGAGGCAATTCCTGGCTGAGGTTATTTTCCTCAACCTCTTCAAATAAATAAATTAATATATGCGAAAGAACGGGATAATATTTGTAGACATTTGTGAACACGGTAATGATGCATCGCATTCCATAAGAGGCTACGAGTTTCTTAACCAACTGATCGACTTGTCAAGAAGGGCCCTCCCCGTGTAGTTCCTTTTTAACAGCATAATGAGAATACAAGTGCAGAGAAAAATGTATTAATTTAAACCGAAATTTTACTTGAAATTCTTCATGCTTGCGTTGAGACGTACTGTTTTTTTACATTCAATAAAATATTGTACAGTATATTCTCATGTATTTCAATGAAATGAAACATAAACGTCAAAATTAACTTACTTATAGCTCCAGAACGCATAATCACAATTCATTGAAATCAATAACGCGTAAAAAATTTAGGATTGTCCCTGCGCTTAACTAATTAAGCACTACGCCATTAAGGCGTATGGGGGGGGGGTTGATATATAATCCAAATTTTCTTGACCTTGGTACAAGTTGGAGGTGAGTAGTCAGTTCATGCCCCGGCCGCTTTACTCCCGCGTTAAGAGTCCCTGGTATCCATTGGTTAGGAGGCTAGATGGGCCCCAAAACCGGTCTGGACGACTTGGAGAAGAGAAAATTCTTGATCCTACCGGGACTCGAAATCCGACCCCTTGGTCGTCCAGTCCGTAGTCAGTCGCTAAAGTGACTGAGCTATTCTTCCTCCAGTGCATAACGCTTATTGTATATATCCCAATTTTATAATTTAAATTTTTTCAGCAATTAAAATTATCGAACTCATTATTTACTTAAGCTTTATGCCACGCTTCACGGAAAATGAAGGAAAATATCTTCTGTGGTTTTTGAATTCCTGTTCTCTTACCATTATTAGTTGATTTAATTAACGTGTATCAGCATTACATAATATTATCGACTGAGGCAAATCCGGTTATGAAACGTATTTCACTGCTGAGAAGAGACACACGGAAATAATATTTTCTTTTGGTGAAACAAGTCCCGAGCCGAAAGTCCTTTATGCAGAAATGTTTTAACGTCCTGATCTGTTAATTTAAAGCATAATTCCTACGTAAACTTCTTTTCCTTCGTGAAAACTGAGATTTATTACATATCACATGCTTGCCTCTTGAAAATGTGTACTGCTGGTCTCAATGTCATGTTCCCTTGGGCAGACTAGCAAAGAGTTTTGGCAGAAATGTTACAGAATGGGTCATATGTTACAAAACAAATATTTATAGAATTTAATAGAAGACTGAATAAAAGTAATGCAGGAACTTTGCATTTTTAAGAATACAGTTCTTCTAAATAATGTTTAATTTGTTGGTTACAGAGGAGCACATAGCTATATTTAGGAAAATATTCGTCATTTATTCTGAGAACATGTGAAGCCCATAAATACGTACATTTGTTGAAAAAAATACTGAACTTCTTTATGTCGAAGCAGGTGGTATAAGCCTTCATTTCTGTAATTCACAATAAAGAAAATATTTCTATATAGCTTTTAAAGTAAATATATTCAAAAGAAGACAATTTCCATAGGTACATTTACAATCCCTTCATTCACAATGACATATTCGGGAATTCTTCTTTATTTTGGAAAGAGAAATTTGCAAAATATTGAAAGAAATCGTCT